CTGAACATGCACATGCATACAGGCTTTTCCATGCATATAATCCCATGAGTAGGAAATTCAGGTTGGATGGAGAGGTACCGAGTCAGATCAAAGACAGAGTAAATCGTTTGAATTATGAAAAGCATCCATGTTGACTGCAAAACCTCGTAAAGGTTATGCTACGCCTGTCAAACAGTTAGTAGTTGCGTTCATTTTGAATTGCTTGAAACCGGGACTGGATAGAGGGTTTGCCAGGAGTTCTGGTGTTCATCGTGAAACCATATTCAGTCAGCGGCCGGAACCACCAGCATCGCTAGGGACCGCCATGTTTTGAATGTCCAGCAATGATGAGACATCTTAATGATATGAATTACGCAATACGTTTTAGGAAGTGATCAAATATAACATATGGTATACTACGGTTTACACTTTATCAAATTCTAGCAGTGTTCTGGGTTACGTTCGCTCCAGGATGCGAATCCACGCTTTCAGAGCGAGGCACCTAAAACACCAGAAAACCAAGTCTGCTACCTAACCCACCCTACCACCGAGTCCAGATCACGTATTTTGTGTGGCCACCCAGTGACGGCACCACGTATTTAAATGACGTCCTCGACTGGCAGCAACCTCCAATCACACAATTTGCATTTTCTTTATGAAAGCCCACATCAACCTTAATGTAGATTTAAGGCTACTAGGTCTACATAACTCACAGAGCTTTGGATATGGTGGCTATCATATCACAATATGGCTCTTTGGTGATTAAGTTTACTTCCTAGTCTAGGAGTTCAATAGACGGTAAAATCAAAGTTGAATGATAGTTCATTTATTCCAATTTTGCCACAGAACCTTCTTCAGTAGGAAACACACTGCAAGATTACAACGCCTATATATTGACAGTGGTCACCATTTGTTATGTAAATACTATCATTGTGCGTGTGCGTGTGCGTGTGTTTGCTTGTGCGTTTGCGCGCAAAATGCCTGACTGCTTCATTGATTATCATGAACAGGTTTGTATCGTTCATTTGCTGCATGAGTGACTACAGTACGGCATGATCTTGAATACCAAAAAGCAATGAATTCCTCCACTCATATCTTCCATCGTGTGTGTAAAACTGAAGACGTGATGGATGCTGCAATGGTATGCCACTATATCACGTCCACACGATCGAAGTACTGCAGGTCACGATTCGTCTATTTTCCTGTTGCTAATCGTTGTTCAAATGTCTGTTTCATCCCCTTTGTTCGGATATTTTTAGTTGATACAAAGGCAGTTGATCATTTCGTATATTACACGTATCTAGACCTGTCAAAACAACCTATACGAAACACGCACGTGTCGACGTAAGTGGACTGAGTGTACAAATGTGTTTCAGAGGATGAGCCCCCTTTGTAATGTACCCAGCCTTGTTTACATGTTTGGTTGCAGTTAGGAATGAGCGAACTAATGAATGACAATCAGTCAGTAGTGTGTGAGTTTAACTTTACGCCGCTTTCTTTTAGCAATATTCCAGCAATATCACCAGAAATGGGCTTCACACATTGTGCCTATGCGGGGAATCGAACCCAGGTGTCCGGTGTGACGGGTGAACGCTTTAACCACTAGGCTACCCCTCCCGCCCCTCCATGACAGTAGTACTAGAAGATAACAGTTCACACATCAGAGCTAAACACTGACCCGATGTATAGATAGCATAGCTACAAACAACGTACAGGTAAATGTTAAACAATTCAATACGTTTTTAAGTCATCATTATTGAGTTAAGGTGAGTAGCACACGAAGCACATGTGATACATGTGGTCTCACCTTAGGCAAGTGAGTTTGTTCAAAATTGCCTCTGTTCGCCCAGCAGAAAATGGGAATCCGTTGGGGTTGGTCATGTGACTATTAATCTTCTAGAGCCTCACAGGCAGTTTCGCTTTTCCAGGAGAATAATGTGCTGTGATATATTCATTGCTAGCGCTATGTGGGGTGTGGAGTTGGCACTGTATAAATGGGGACATTATTACTATCATTAGTAGTGGTAGTTGTTGTGTATTAAAATGATGTTAATGAAGCAGTTACAATGTAGACAATATCAGCGTAAGTTAGTTTCAACTTGAAAAAACAGAAAAGAAGATCCCTGTCTACTTATTTAGTGTCTTATATTTTACTGTAAAATATATAGCACTAAGTAGACACGGATCTTAGTTTTTGACTGACTGAGTTTGGTTTTACGCCGCTTTTAGCAATATTCCAGCAACATCATTGCAGGGGACATCAGAAATGGGCTTCACACATTGTACCCATGTGGGGATTCGAACCCGGGTCTTTGGCGTGACGAGCCAACGCTTTAACCATTAGGCTACCCCACCGGCCCCTTAGTTTTTGAAGTTAAAACAACTAAATACGTGGGCCGCATCACGACATCATGGATGAGTTGTCTCAACTGATGATTGCCAGACGAGGCGCTTGTAGTTTAGTCATAGGACACATATACATGATATTACCTTTGCAAAAGCACAGGATGTTATCTAGATACGAGTACGAGCTACTTCTGTGTCAGTTCCTTTTGCACCAAACGTCACTACTAGACCCAAGAACCTTCCATGCTTATGTCCTTCATGAAAAATATTAAACGTGAAACATTATGAATCAACTGTCTGAACACGTTATATTAGTTTTACGAATTGAAGCCGAGCTTGATGCCGAGCTTCAATTCCTATAGTGACAATACATAATCGGTGTTTAATGGCAAGCTCACAAACATGAATATGAACTTCTTAAGTTTGAAAAGAAACAGTCAATAAAAATCAATATCCATTATCATTTCAGTGTACCAAAGCAAAACCGTATTACATTTTGAAACCTGAAATCGGCTAAAATCTCCTTCTGCAAATTACTATCTCCAACAATTCATCTGCTCTTGGGAAATTCCGTGTAATAAACGATGTTTCAAAACCCCCTTTAGATTTTAATACTGCATATAAAACTGCCATGCTTTGACTTTAAATAAACCCCATAAAGTACTACAACGATATCTTAAACCATGGGGAATTGGCATCAAGTAATTAATTACTTTATGAAACTATATAATTTAAAATATTCTACGCAGTTTGGAACCAATTTCATGTGAACAAATCCTCTTGGCAATGTGTGTTTATTCGTGGTTGCAAACACCAGATGTTACAAAACACAATAAGCTCCCTATAGGAGTCCTCACACTAACACGCTCATGGACATGGTGACGCTGCTGTAATGTATAGATGTATGTGGAGAAGGAATATACACAGTGAAAGCTTGAAACCTGATTACAGTGTAAACAATAGTTCGACACTGCCATACTTTGTTAGGCACGTGTGGGAGACTGGAGCAATGGGATCGCATTTTTCTGACAGCTGACATACGGGGAACGAAGCAAGAAGCAGTAATCCTATCAGAAACACTCAATACCATCATGATGCGCTCAGATCGATATCTCGGTATTGATCTTATGTGCAGGCCGGCACTAAGTGTCCATGTCTATCCTTCTAGGAATGTACAGTGAAACATTAGCAGCTTTAGTCAACATTACTGCACGTCCCAACTGTTATATTCATCTTGGAGGTTTTCTTGCTAAAGGTAAAATCCATGGGTTCGATTCGTTTAATCAGGTCGGGCAGCAGAGACACAGGATGCGAGACCTTGCTACTGGTGTTCCTTTATTTCTATCTTACTCATTGCTGAGCTGTATTCCCGGCGAAGTCGGTTAATTGACATATTGCATGCCAGAAAATCTGTTCTGTTACTGTCCTGAACAACATTTCCAGATATGTAGAGTTGGACTATTATTGCCATACGGAAACCCTGGTTTTGTACAAAAAGGAACTAAAAAACCCGTTGAATGGTGTATCTTTTAGTAAATTATCCGTAAATTGAAAACAATTTTGAAAAAAAAATGCATTAAAGAGAGACTTATAGAGAGGCATGATGCCATAAGTAAAAAACGTGTCCTTGGGTTATGTCTAGACATAAATTTCCGTACATTATATAAAAAGTATTGTCTCGTGTATGTCAGAGTAACATAGCACTAATGGAAGTCATGTACGGCAGCCAAGATAATGGGTGAAATCCCTGGGTGAATTTAATGACTGTCTCGTGTTCTACATTTTGTATTCCTCTATTTTCCTGTATACCATCATCTTGTGTCGCTGCAACAATCTTGTTAAAGAGGAATTGAGCTGGTTTCAGTACACTTTCGTTCTTAACAGTATTTCAGTGTATGACAGCAAGACGGCGCAATGAGCAAATGAGCACTATATGGTTAGAACTGACCAAACGATCAGTGGTTCCTGATATGGCTAGGGTACGAAACCCATCGAATAACGCCACCGTTAACAACTTGACCCTCAGCAGGCTGAGAGAAGATCTGACTCATTTAGTTTTCAGTGGGATCTCTGCCATCTTTCACAATCTTCGTTGTATCACCAAAAAGCTACTGTAGTTCACGAACGGAGTTCAAACATTCAAAACCGTCTGTCCACCATCATGCCCATTCCTACAGTATTTGTAAGTTTTAATGGAGTATCAAAATATGTTTTGTTTCGTGATACGGAATGAGAATCTAAAGTTCCTAGGAAATTGTTCGATACTTTCAATTTGTTTTACTTGGCTGATGAAAAAAAATCTTTGAAGAAATATGATCTAAAATAATCTAATATTGTATCAATGAAAATCCTCGAGAGAGGAATAAACGCTCATAGATATCTCGGTTTTAGTCAGGGGCGTTAGAAGCCTTTTGTAACGATGCATGTTCAGGACAGAGCTTGCTGTGCATGTATCACTAAACACCAGACCTGCTATTTTTGAGTCACGTGCAAAAATCAAATTGGTGACAATAGCACATGAGCAATATTGCTGTCGTCTTCTGCAACAGTGTCTTTTCCAGAAGAAGATATTTAGCACTGATTAAAGTTATAACTACTCTTTACGTTTATATGTAAATCGGCTTATTTCATCTGTCACTTTACTATGTGAAAACCATCAAAAGACCAACACGTTCCAATATTCACCCCATTTATGCATAGAAATAACACATGATTACATCCATCTGAAGAACACGACAAAGCCAATGCAAAACAATAACGTAATGATAATACATGGTTTCATTGTGGACAAAACAACAGTCATTTACTCGCTATAATAGAAACGTCATGCAGAAACACTAACAAAGCAGCAGCCAGCACAGGAACATGGCTTGAAGAATATATATGTTACACACTATGTCAATACTTGTTCATCAATATATCTATACTGATATTCCAGACGCACATATAAACATGGTGATGTAATAACTATACAGGCATACATTGCAGGGAATAACACAGGTTGTAGGGGTCCTTTATGGCGTATCTACCTATTTGCCCTATCAGACAAGCGCCACCAAGCTATCTAGACTCCATTAAGGCTTCTTTCTGGAAAATTACCTGTTTTGATAGTATGACTCTAAAGGCCAAATTTGATCAGTGTCTTACGTACACCGACGTATTCTAGCTCTCAACAGTTATCTGTCACCTTTATAAACGTCTATTGATCGGGCTGTCTCTCTTGTTAAGCGCCCACTGACACTACTGGATAGACCTTCGGCGGCATGAAATAGTTCCACACGTTGTTGACAATGTCAACTCACTGATCGGAAAGCTCAACAGGCATGTACACAATAAGGTTTATGTCTGCTCGTCCTGATAAAAATATTGTTGACACAGGTCTGAGTAGGTCGGCAGTAAGATCACCACAATTAACGCCACAGGGGGAAACACGCCGCAGGTTTAATCCCACGTAAACATTAACGGAGAGTAATATCATCGCAAAAACGGTGCACGAGAAACATAATGTTCTTGGTCTCAGAGAGCAACTGGCTTTAAACATCCCTTTTCGTCTTGAAGTGATTGATCATTTGGTTCGCATACAACGTGGCTTGTACAGTTTTGTTGAGATTCAAATGTCGACAATTCCATTCTTTCATCAATGGTAGTATTCGTTGCTACACTCTTGGCGTAGCTCTGGCTGGTCCTTGGAAACATGCTATTTTCGCCGCAGAGGGACTTGTTGATCTCCGATGGTGATGTGCACTTAAACGCCTTCATGAAACTCTTCCGGAAATTGTCACTAAGAAATGCATACAGGAAAGGGTTAAGCATACTGTTTGCAAACGTCAAGACTGTGAGCGCGTTAAATAGTACAACCTTCCAGTCAGTTAATCTCTGCGAACCAGTTTTGAAGGTAATTTCCACTTGAAATACCCAGTAAGGTAGCCAGCAGATAACATAAACTGACAATACTGTCAGCACCATCCGCGTCACTCGTCGGTGAGATCGTTTCTTTTCTTTTGACTTCTTTGCCGGTCCAACTGTGCGCAGTCTGAGCACGACCAGGATATAGAACACAGATATCAATGATATGGGTATCGAGAAACCCAAGATGAAGGTGTACCAGATGAAAGCTTTGTCCGCTGGAATGGGCTGACCATCGGGCCAAGAGATCGTGCAGGTCTGTCTGCCCTTGAATCGCGTCGCCGGTAGTTGGGGAACAGTTGTAGAATACAGAATAATCGGCAACATAACAAGGAAGGACACCGACCATATACACAGGCAAACGATGAGTGCAATTCTTGGAGTGCGATAGCGGACAGATCTGACGGGGTGGCAAACCGCAAGGTAGCGGTCAGCGCTCATCACAGTTAGTGTGAATACACTGGTGAATAAGTTGATGGAGAAAAGCACAAAGTAGATCTTACACATGGCAAAGCCAAACACCCAGTATCCTAATAGCGTTGTCGTAGTAAGAAATGGCAAACTCACGAGGAATAGGACGTCCGAAATAGCTAAATGAAGAATGTACATGTTCGTAACAGTTTTCATTTTGGCGAATCGAACGACGACATAGATTACGAGACCGTTGCCTAACCAGCCGACCAAGCAGATTATAACATAACATATAGCGAGAATGATGGGTATGACTTTCATGAAATAGGGACCTCGTCCCATCTGAGTTCCATTGCCAATCGGTCCAGTTCCATTGCCAAATGGTCCAGTTTCATTGCCATAGTGATCGCAGAGTGGCAGAGGTGACTCGTCCAGAGGCGACATCGAGCTGATGAGGTATGAAACGTTTTTCATCCTGCTTGTTCAAGTCGTCTTCGAAAGTAGAGAAAATGAGATCTTATGCAGATGTAGTATTTTTCTCTTTCTGGAGCCAAAGAAAATTCCTTTTATATTTCAGTCAAGTTGTCGTCTCATGTGGCATATCGTGCAGCGCACAGCTCTCCAGTGTTACATTGTACCGGCACTACAACAGAATCCGTTAGCTGACGGTCCTGCCTTACAAAGCACAGAGGCGTACAACTGATAGACGCATCGATTCCAGAGTCCCTTTCTCCATCGCCCTCTTACGGCAATCACAGGCAATTGAACTGATACTATACCATCCTCCAACTTCTCACAAACGTTGGCGCCTCAAAACTAACCGGATCACCAGAACCCTGAAAAACAACGTTTCAAGTCATAATTAAACCATAAAACATATCAAGAATACTCGAAAGCAGTCCGTGACAACTTTCACGTTGTAACAAAGCAGAGTATTTAGAATCATTTTGGGAAAGAACAGGTGACACTCATCTCGTCAGTAATTATAGTATATTTAGCGGGCCTATCATGATAAATCTAGTACACCGTGAAGCATAAGGGCCAATAAAAAGTCACACGGGTCCATGTAGTGGTTAGTAAAACACTGTAATTTACAAGTTACACTATTGATTGCTTTTCTCATATAACCAAGACTATAGTTGACACAGTCACGAGCACACACTAGAAAGTTATTTACTCTTTACTGGATATTTGCTCTCCATGCTCTAATCCACAGTCTTATCAGCATGAAATATTACTGAAATTGATGTTTACAGGATACCAAGAAAATCTATACTGACATTGTTTGACAACAGTTTACATAAATACATATCCACTTCTCTGTTCGCATTTCTTTGAATACGTATATAATTTTGAAAACCATCTGTTACACACGCACGCACGCGCACGCACGCACGCACGCACGCACGCACACACGCACGCGTGTATCATTTGGTTTCGACTACGTCCTTGCATACTAATGCACTACAAAAGCATGTCTTTTCCACTTGACAATTTCGCACATCATATCATATGTACACGTGTACCACTCACATAATGGTAAAACAAAATATCGGTATGCCTTGAATAGTGCATTATATCCTCGTTCATGACTTTCATTTCAAACTACATACATTAGGGTTTGCTTCCACGATGTTGATTAAATTTATTTTCTTTATTTTTTTTAATCTAAAGTAGCTGTAATTGTATTTTGCACGCTATAATCGTTAGACTGTTATCATCATAATGTCATCAGCTGGAAGTACATACTCGTGTAATTTCACAGACTTTATATATCCACTTTGTTACATCACCGACGACGATGATGCATGATAATTGCATATTGTGTGTGGTGACTGTAATTACATTTTCTCACACTGTATGTGTTGACTGCATGTATACATAGCATGTGTGCATAGCGTATGTGTTGACTATATTCACAGGTTTCCCAACTGTATGAATTTACTGTATTTACAGGTTTCCATACTATTATGTGTTGACTATATGTACATGTTCGCATGCTGTATGTGTTGATTGCATTTACGTGTGTGCATACCGTATTTGTTGACTATATTCAAAGGTTTCCATACGGTATTTGTTGATTGTATTCATAGATTTCCATACTGTATGTGTTGACCGTATTTGCGTGTTTGCAAGCTACATGTGTTGACTGTACTTGCATGTTTCCCTCCTGTATGAATTGACTGTATTTACAGGTATTCATACTGTATGTGTTCACTATATCAACACGTTTCCATACTGCATATATTGATTATGTAGTTTGTGCCCACGATATTTACAAATCTGTAAATACTGTTTGTGTTGATTAAACATATATTTAACTAAATTCTATATGAAATCAAGTCAAATAAGGTGATATCTCAACCAATGTCCACTTTGTAACGGTTGATAAAGTCTATAAAAAGGAATTAGAAATGAAAAGTCAGGCATGTCAGTGGAAGTATCCAATTATGTCATTTCGATGGATGACTTGTTAGTTGGAAGAACTGCTTGCGTTCGGTTGAAGACAGGTGCCTTGTTTGATAGTCACAGAATATCCTGTTTAAGGACCTACACGCCATCACAGATTACCTGTGAGACCGGAGAGAATCAATGCTGGTGAGACCAGAGCTTTAAGTTTTGGCCATGAGCTTACTACATGGATTGACGAAGAAGATATAATCGATAATCATACTTTCGGTATAGGCCCTTTGCTTATTACCCCGTGTCACCAGTGCGACAATATTCGAAAAGATGCCTCAAGAGGAAAATTGTAACTATGAGATAACCTTGATGACATTGACCTATGTGTCCGACGGGTGAAGTCATCTGTCGCACTTTACTGTAAACGATTAGGATGCGCTTGCCTCCTCAACAGCCAACAGAAACCTATTCTGAAAACATGCCGCCAGAAAGTGACATTTATCTTTTAAATTATCTTTTATGTCACCATAAGACATCGTGGGTTTTTTACCTGTTAATTCCTTGCTGGTCCCAAGTACGCTTACCGATAGAAATATTCGATTGTTGACTAATTGCCCTGCCTGAATGAATAAGCCCTGGCAAGAATATTTCTAGAAGTTTCCGATTCGTAAAGCGAACTGTGTTTTTATAATACTGAAAAATACTTGAAGAAGGGAAGTAATTCTGACTTTTTTTAGCCCTTCGTATTGTACGTCTTCAGAGCTCTCAACGCCGGTACCGTAACCATTTTGTTCATATTTGAAGCAATCAGTTGTCGGTAGGTTCGACAGGCCGAACTTACATCCGATGACGAGGAACAAACATTACATCACACATGTAACATCATTTAGCAGCATTTCTGAATATCGTTTGCTTGTACAAGGCCACAAACGTTGTTTTGAAAGATTATCGCCGAGACCCCTTTGTTTCAATAATAATAACAGTTCATTTTATATAGCGCCTAGTATCCAGTTTAAAAAAATTCCTGATGTGCAAAAATGTGATGAAATTTGTTAAATATATTTGAATATTACAAGTATGTGAACTGCAATCAATGCAAATTATTCAGCCACTTTCAAACATAAGACAGCAGATGTTATTGGAAAACAGTGTAATGAAATCAGTTCCAACTTGAAAATACGGCACCAGTGTCCTCACCCTGCTTGGCGCTGCAGGCAGGTGCTGAAAGTACGAAGGTAATGGCTTCTTGAAATGTAAAATCGCTATCAATTTCTCTTTCCCCTACTGCAACCACCTTACGGTCATACGGTATAAGAGGCACACGCGTATTTTATAGACATGGGTATTTTAAAACCTTTTGTTCTGACCAACAGAAAATGAATACGTGCCAAATTTGACACGATGCCAAATATACAGTAGATTCTCAGTTGATATGACGACTGAATAGACTTGCACGTTTCTGCTACAGTTAATAAATGTAGTAATTGAACATACCAAGTGTTGTACTGTGATAATTTGGCATACGTTGCATACGTGAAATTAAGTAAGTATACAGAATCGGTATAGGAATCAACGCGTCCGTAATTGGATGTGAAACCTGAAGATACGTATGCAAGGGCGAAAGTGGCACATATGAACGTACTGGGTTGGATAATTCATCAGACTTATTGCCTGCCGTCAGTACGGTTACTGGTTTGGTTTATGTGGGTGATGAAGCACAGTGAGTTCCTACAGCTCATTAAACAGCTGCTGCAGCCAAGGCATGAACATGCAGATGGTCATCTGATCACCTCATGACAACAGAGAGGCATCTGCCACTACGTAAGCCTATTATCACCATGTCGGGCCATTATTAGCGTCTTTGTGCTTACAGCCATCTCATTCTTTGTTTTCTATATTGCAGGTGATTTGGGCGCTTAAAGATATTGCTGTTTGGTAACAGGGACGTTAGCACTTGCTTATCTCTTTGATCAATAGATATGTGTGGCAAGGGATTCGGGTTGCTCGACTCAAGCTTATCCTTGACAATATCACACATTTATAACGTGTTGAAAACACCTTTTTCTTTCATTACTGTTGGTAAGCATTTAGTAAGTTAGTAAGTGGCATTTATGTCTTAGAAGAGTTTTTCTTCAACATAGATATGAATATATTAAATAACGTCTGACAGATTTATATAAATAATATTTATGGTATATTTGCCAGTACAAATGAGAAACATTATAATTATCCTTCTACATGAATATGTATAAACCGTTTGCACTTGTGCGTGCCTGTGCAAGCCCAGCGTTCTTCAATTGAAACAGCAACTGCTAAACGAGTTCAAAACAACCCCGACTCATGTGATTATCGCTTAGAGAATCAGTACTTTTTTGTATCAGTTTGATGCACTCTTTTTGTTCAGAGAGTTCACAACAAATAGCAGCTCCCACGTTGAAGACACCCACTTGAAGGCCGAACGTTTTTAAGTTACAGATAGAATTAATACATGAATTAACTACTGTGAGTAATTATTTTATGTTACACATGAACGTGCTTGATCTAATGCGATTTCAACGAAAAAAATAAGTGCATTTCTTCCCTTCATTTTTTCGGCATTTCCATCGTTTTCTCGTGTCTGATGCTGTATAAACCTAGTTAATTTGAACTGGCACATCGAACTTGTCTCCCGTTAAAAGCAGTTAGTTGCCGCTGGGGCATTTCTGACTTCAACTTCAGTAAAACACTATTTCCATAGCAACGAGAGATAGAGATTTATGACAAATGGCAGATACAAGTCATGGTCGTGCGAAGATGTATGTACGGCTTTGTTCATTTGTGAAGTATATTCACTGAGATATATTAACTCAATAACGCCTGGTTAAAGAGCGTTTGTCAACGAACATTGAAATATTACGGTCGGCAGATCATTCAGCTGTAACCAAGTATTAAGGATGTTACTTATGGGTTTCTTCAACTCATGTGTGGTGTATACACGAAACATCAGTATGAAAATGAAACCTAAATATGTTTTATGCACACGCTTGAAAATATGTCCAATATGTTTGAATATACATGTAGGACGTGAGATCAACGCCCTTCTAGTAATATTTTCCCAAGATTTCATTATATTTCTAATCTGCTTAGGCCTTCTATTTATTTAATCATTTTATCATACCTGTATTGAAATTGTATGACGTCTGAATGGCATAGACAGTATTACTGTTAATATTCGCCGACACAGCTTGAATAACTCCACGTTGGTGAGCAGCAGCTTGACTCTGGATAAGGGTTGACAGACAGCACTGGATTGTATTTAGCTATGATGTGAATTCGAATGAAGACGAAAATGAAACTACTCAAACCCTTAAAGCATCACGAAGGAGAGACCAAAATTACTGCAAAGTCTATATCAGATATAAACAACAACATACACTGTTTCTATTGTGAAAATAAACATTGAGTAGAGACATCGTTTATTGAATGTTAAGTCTGTTAATTGTCTATTACGCGTAGTATTATACCTGAAATGTGCACGTATTCGTCTTGTATGCCAACATATTGTGCAGTCACTAATGGATATAACTGTTGTTGACAGAATCAACAAGTTTGTGTTACAACTATCAACTTTACTTGTATACTGTTACTTGTAACTTTACAGTATACTGCCAAGGAAGAATCGCATGTTCATATACATTGTCCGTTTGAAGTGAACACAAACACAAAAAGTGTAGCAAGCGCGCCTAAACTGGCAACTGGCTTACAAAAGGTTACATTTGTTGTTAGAATGAACTAAACCATATTTCGGAATAGCATTTGTAACACGGACGAATTAAAGGACAGGCCGAAAGAGCTGAGTGTTTGAGTTTGGGACGTTGTAGACAGATTAATCAGTGCTGTAAGTTTACCTCATTATATGCTGCGGTTGCCTGGGCGTGCAATCAATCACTTGTCAAACCTGCTTCAAAGCAATGATGTAATATGAGACGACCATTATTAATTGGGAATGTTGGGAAATCCTACACTGGGCTGATTAATAATTGGACTGGAAAGACCTATGCCTTCCACAGTGTGATTGCTGTGTCTGCTGGCAGGACAGAAAGCCGAAATCGATACTAATTAAGAAGGCTGCAAAACAAGTTTGTTATTTGTATCTTTTCAGATTTGACATTAAGTGAACACCAGTGACGTGGACGTTTTTCTTTCTCCCGAGACAAGGATTATTGTTCAGATACTACTGAGGTATCATTTAAACATAGTTTGGCGCTGTACAGAGAATCTGTCTTTGGTCACGTATTAGCAGACATGTTGCCCCTTAAGAATCTGCTGCACGTCCTCGCCGAGTCTGCAGGTAGTCACTGTCTAGGTTTATAAGTCAGTGGATCTGTCTCAGATTCTTGACATTTTAGTTTGTATCTTTTAGTCTCACATGCCTACCAGTCGCACTCACTGAAAACGCGGGTGAACAGTGACAGATATTTAACACATATAGAAATGGCCCAACAATTGAGGTTTCGAAGTTACGAGACGAGAATATTTAGGGGCATATTATACTTTTGAAGTAAATACAGAAACAGATGTTTCAATGTCCAACATATGCATACATTATTCCTCTATTATTGCTTTAAGTCATTTATAGATTTGGGAATTCGTAAAAAATGGAAATTATGCCTCACTGGTTTGACATAGTTCAGGCATCTCAGGTTTCAATTCCAAAGAAAAATCAAAACACGGGTGAACATCAGTTTGAAAGATGAGTAAATCAATCAGAAGGTGGACACAAGCTGACAATCTGGAGATAGGGTGCCGTGATGACAGCCAGCAACTGAACAGTTGACATATTATCATTGTTAGGTGATATTAGTTCGCGTTGCTTTTTAAATAACAAATCATTAAAGGGTAATGGTAATTTATGATAAAGAAACTCACATACCTCACACATCGGTAATATGCCCCCTCGGTTTGCACTATCTCAGATCATAATTAACTTAGCAAACTCGGGCGTTAGGTAGTTAACAAGGCTACTTGTATTGCACATGGAATAAGATAACACACTTCTACCAGATTTCTGACTGATCTCCACGAGAGGCGAGCATTTCATACATAACCAAAACGAAATACAATCTCCATGTCGCATGTATAATTCAAAATGGTACACATGAACAATATGCATAGATTTTACATTGTATATTTACACATCACAACGTCTCATCAAGTTTGAACAAGGTACATGCATATATCAATTATAAATTCCGTTTAAGATACCATCATATCATGACATATAATCAACATTATTGTCTTAATTTCCAGAAATTCCAGCATAAAACACATTGAAAATATGAAATAGAACTCTCTGCGCTATTGTAATTAATACAAAATGTGTCTGTACCTGTTGACAATCATATTTTGTTGTAAGATCCGGCCTGTCTGTGGCTGGCGTCGAAGGGCTACTGAGCGACTGGCGAGCGAGCGACTGTGGCAGCAGAGCGCTACTTCCACCGGGCAAGCAAAAGTGATCGAACCAAGATACAACGGCCTTCCTTAACCACCGTGGCTTGTTACGTCCAACGTCATAGCATTTGAGAGTGACTGACGTCACCTACCGGAGGATAGCCTCCCCTGTCTGTGTTGGCGATAAACACTGTTGCACAGCAGGCGGCCAAGGCGAGGTCTTCCCGTTCAACTACAGCTACAACGAAAGCTACAGCAAGAGGACCGAATTGATTTGTATAGTGTAGTGTTATATATTCCCTTCGTCGTTGACAGACAATAGGAAGATTTCAGAAGCTGAACCAGGCCTTAAGCCTCGTACTCCGTAAGATACACATAGGAGAAATGCGTGAAAAAATGAAAAGCTCAAAAATCGATAAGGACCATATCAGTTAAATTGAAGCAATATATATTTGTGATTGGGATGTAGAACAGGCCTTGGGGTTGCACTTAACATTGCCGACAACATGTACCCTATAAACGTCAAGTAAGTTTGTTTCGTATGTTTAAAGGCCATGAATAGACATTGTGTAACAAAGGTGCAGTAAAGCTTAAATGACACCCAGACGAATTTCTTTTCTCTTACCCACATGAACCGTATTCGGAGCAGTCCTTACGTATAATTATACTGACATGTTGCTGATAGTTTTTGTAATATTGAGATCTGAATGAACCAAGAGTTTGTATTACATCGGCGTATACTCTCGTATAGCATTTATCGGGCGACTATTTCATTTTTAGCTGCTAATTGCACAATGTGATCACAGTTATTTTCCATGACTTATATAATGTATGTTTATGATAGTGTTATATAAGAAGTGTTAGATGCGCGGGCTTTGACAACACCCTTCAGTACACATAACGTTACAGATTGGATACACCATTCTTGAATTGAACATGATTTATATACATTGGAATATAAGTTTTAAACTCATTATCGAATGGTCTTGTATGTGCATAGTGTCAATGTTGCCATGTAATTTTCAACATAAACACACATACAAGTGTCAGCATTACCATGGATTCTCAGGAAACATGTGATGTACAGAGACGCACAAAGGCTTATTGAGAGTCCCGACACTTGAATATTGGCCAACCACTTCGTACCCTGGACATATCTAATACACTGGTGGTTTCAATATAACACTCTGACAGTGCATTTTAATTAAATAGTGAGCTGGATCAACATATATAACCAGGCAAGACGTGACTAGGCGAGATGACTGCGACTTGACCGATTATCGTCCCCATAGCGACAAAGAATGGCTGGAAGGGGTTGTACAGTAGACATGACGTTCATGTTGGTCAAATGCGATTGGATGCGTTTTAATCTGCCGTCTTGCTTCTAGACGACAAATGGAAGCTTTCTTTCACACAAATCTGCTTAACATTGAAGTTGGACGCTATGCCGAGTGTAGCAAGTCGAATCGAGTAGCCAGCCTTACATAATGGTTGGTCCTTTAAATGACTGCTTCTCGACTCGTTAGTCGACATATTTAGTATGCGGGAGATCCTGTAACGACTGTAAATGCTTCCGATGGCATATTTCCTGTACGCGTATTACTTGACATGTGTGAACATGTTATTTGACATAGTCATGTGGGGTAACGTGATTATTTCGTTGAGAAAAAGGTAGGGTCAAGACATTCTGAGTTTGGCAAAACTGGGAGCGAAAGTCTCTTCTTGGCGTGCTTTTGTCCCTAGGATATCCTGTTGGTTGAAGTATTTGCTCGCCAAATCAAATGTCAGAATTATTTGTGTCCACTGTCGGGATGCTGCTTAAATGAGACTTAAAGCGGCGCAAATCCTACCTGCTCACACGATCAATAACACATCTCACTATTGTTAAGCGATAAATGTAATAATGTTTACGGGAATTCCTTGCCGGGTCGTAGATGTGTTCATTTTATGATTAGATGGTTAGTATATACTTTACAATGAAAAGCTGAACATGTTTAGTGACAGATAATGTCAATAAAGTTACTTCTAGGTGACATTTTCGTCCGTTTCGGATTTTGTTTCTGTCTTAGATAGAATTAGTTTATGATTATGATTATCTAGTCCTACTTTCCAGTAGGTTGGCACGTAGAAGGTAATTGTCCCAGTAATTGTTGAAGAAATATGGGTTGCTTCGAAGAGACTATTAATTGCAACCTTAAATGTATTCTGTGACGTGGATATGCTGTCAAAAATACATGTCAACACGTCAATCGTCCCTTTATACAAACTGAACATGTTTTAGGCAATACTATCCCATTTCCATTCCCATATACCGACAAGAAGATTAGAAAGAGAAACATAAACTTCAGTTACCGTCAAATCAAACCGATTCATATCAAACTTTGTTTGCCAGCTATGATTGTAGTTTCTTTACTACTTTTGAGCAGACACGACATTGCGTTGTTTGATACACACGAAACAAATGATATCGTTTTATCTCAACACCCCAAGAAGGACCTCAAACAGACAGGTAATTAGAAAAAATAATAGTTTCTCTGCAGGGCAGTCTGGACTATTTATGTACATTGGGTAGTCACTTCAGATTGGCAAATTAAAGTAGTTAATATTCAGTATTTTGTAGTGTCAGGCATGACTCTACCACAGCGTGTAGCTAACTGAATCCCATCTCGGCTTCTTTCGAATGCATTTTCTCCAAACATGGTCCGAACATGCTGATCTCATCCGATTCCATGTGGGTACTTAATATTTCATTTGCGCTAAAAGTGTTGCTCAAACGAACACCAAAAACTAGAAGTTGTCATTTGCCTTTCACAAAATCTTTGTTATTACAAAAAATCATCTTTTAATTCTTACAAATAATGCCGTTAAGTTGTTGTAAGTTGAGATGTTTGACATATCATAGTCAAACAACATTTCCTTCACCTTTACAACTTCTAGAAATGCCTCTCAAAGCATTTGACTTCGCGCTAGTTACAAATGCTGCGTGTCCTCCCTCATCGATCAGGTCTATCGTTTTGCCTTTCTTTCAAAATGCTTCACGATTCTGCAGTTTTGCACGGTATCAGGTAGACATAATCGATAAAGACTCTTTTCCGTTTCCAAGTATAGATGGAACTGAGAGCCAGTATCTTATACAGTTCCAGCGTTTCTTCCGTACAGCATTTTGGAGTGAGTGAGTTTAGTTTTACGGCGCTTTTAGCAATATTCCAGCAATATCACGGCGGGGACACCAGAAATAGGCTGCACACATTGTGCCCATGTGGGAAATCTAACCCGGGTCCTCGGTGTGACGAGCGAACGCCTTAACCACTAGGCTACCCCAGCACCCGACAACATTTTGGAGAGTTCAACGACGATTACATCCGAACTATATTCAGGATTCTGAGAAACCACGCAATGCTTATGAATCTATATTTAAACAACTTATCATCAACATCTCTTTACATAATATACATCATTACTAGTACCAGCTGATGGTATATGTGCGAGTGAGTGAGGGTTAAAGCCGCTTTCATCACCATGCAGGGATTCATTTGTATCTCGGTGTGTCGTTTTCATTTGGGATGAAATTATCAAGTGCACTATATAGTGGAAGTCGTTGTGGCGGTGATAAACTGATAATGAAGGCCACGAACAACGCACGCAACTCTGCACTTCTGAAAGACACACGATGCAATAAACACAGTCAACATTACGGAATGTGAGTAAAGCAAAATAGGAGGCTGTACTTGTAATGAATTATGTCCGATACATGTAAAATCATGAACATATGACATGTATATGTGTCATCAGCTTCGCATGATTTCCAACACAACTACGTCTTAAACCTTTCATCATGGAAGTCACTGGAGGTTTGTCGGTTCCCTTCAGCCATAACCAAATTAAACAGAGTCTTAAGCAAAATTTACACAGTGTCTATTTCTAGCTCCAAATGGTAAACTACAGAGAGATCCATCACTTGGAGCGTGTGTGTATGCCATATGGTTGATGTACAGAAAGCCGAACACCGTATGAGAAAGATGTGTCGGCGTTTCATAGCACACTTTTACATTAACCAACGGTTTCAGTCTGTATATAGTTCTTCACTGGGAAGTTTAACGCTTATTTATCCTCTGCTGTGGTTATTCACGCATGTTAATGTCACAATCTATTTTTATATATACATACATATCATTCACGATTATGTTTCCACCTGATGTAATGAAATGTAAATCAAATAAGTTTAACATTTGCTGATATCTTTAGGAATATGTATCACAAACAATTACTGATTCCATAGATAAATATGACAAGCTTTCCCTTTCGAAGTATAAAAAGCTGTCACAGCGTCATAAACTATAAATGGATTTCGATACGTATCAAAGAACAGCTGCAAAATAGTAATCGTTTATATTCTTTAGCGTTTCTGCAAAAAAAAAACATTATGTACGCTACAATGAGTTATCCGCTGACCTTTTGGTGATCTGCTGTTCAAAACAGCATATATTGACATGAACTGTGTCCAGTCGACATATACTAACTAGCCTTCTGTCCATTGCGACAATTCCGATCGATGACTTCACTAAACAAGGCTTCGGCCTACCAATATTAACACAAACCACTCTGTATGGACACCATGTCGGCCAAATGTCCCCTTCGCATGTACATTGATGTCTACATACGGATCTGCCCCCATTTCCGTGCCTTCCCAGTAACTGGAATATAACTATTGATAAGACTGCGACTGCAGTGGCTTCAAGTCGACAACGAGTCTGTGATTAATCAACGCTAGGGTTATCTTAGTCGGTCAAGGAACGTGTCGGTTTTAAGAAGCAAGCGAAGAGTTATTCCTTATTTGCAAAATATGATCGCTTGCGTCATTGTGACATTACTTTGACATTTCGGCTTTTTTGACAATGCTGTATGCGCTCAGGTTGAAGATCCTGGTTGCAAACTAATTACACACATTAAAGATTTTCTGATAGAATAGATTTCATGATCGCACGACTGTTACGCTTTGTAAACGAGCACTCTCCTTATGGACATAATAACAGAAATACCCTTCAACTCCCTACATAACACCTATTTCTGTCCTCAGTTATGTTTATGCAAGAAATAAT